TTGGGTGACCAATCACACCCTAACAAAGATTGGTGGCGACTCCCCCATTTACTTCAATTTTAAAACTCTTTTATATCTGGCGGTCCCAAAACCGTTACGACAAGGAGTCATCACCAATCTTTTTTGGCTCGGTGCGATTGGCCACCTATTAAAACATATCCTTTTAATGAAATCTTAAAATGAATTAAAATTTATTAAAAAGATAATTTTAGGGTCTGCACAATAATTTGGGTTCGAAAATCGGTTACGTGTGGGGAAGGATTAGCACCCCCACAATGCCCGTTTAAAATGGAACCAATTAATTATATGTTATCCATTGATTTTGATAAAAACAGTCTTATTTTTGGTGTTTGAAAAATAATTTCCTTGAATTTTCATTTATTAGTTTTTTTATATCTTTTATTATTTAGTGTTTCATTTTTTTTTTCGAGAAAAATAAATTAGAACTTTTTTATTGAAATAATTCTTACAATGTTCCAATACATTGGTAACATTAGAAGAACTTTTTCTCACCTAGAGATTTTTTAGGCATCGCTTCTCGAAATACCTTAGAATCTCATTTTTCGAGATTCGAATTTATTTTTGTAAAAACCTTGTTGTGCAATGCAAAAAAAAAAAAAATACGAATATATTAATGCACACATTTTATTATTTCTTTTAGAAATTTTACTGATTTTTATTAATTATTATTATTATTATTGTTTTATTGAAGAAAAGAGAAAATTTTATTATATTGAAGATTTTTATAAATATTCCAATATACTGGTAATATTTAAGAAAAATCTTCTCATCTAAAGATGTCGTAAAGCATTACTACTCGGAATACTTTAGAATCTCATCCTCAAATAAAATTTTTTTTCATTTTTTATCCCTTTATTTAATTTATTAGTTAATTTTATTTTTTATTAATAAAAAAAAATTTTATTGTATTAAAAACTTTTTATAAATACTCCAATACACTGGTAGTATTTAAAAAAAAATTTTCACCCAGAAATTTCGTAGGTATCACTACTTGGAGTACTTTTGAATCTCATTATCGAATAAAAATTTTTTTTCTTACATTTTAAATTATTATTTTTTATTAATTAATTTTTATCAATTGTTGTAAATTTTTCTTTATTCTTGTTCATTAAAATTTTAATAAGTTTATGTTTAGTAATTATTTTAGATTAATTAAATTAAAACCATTTTATTGTGAATTAAATTTTTGTGAATTCTTGTGAACCTAAAAATTCTTAAAAATATGAAATCCCTGTGAAATTGAAATTTTGAGAATCAAATGCCTAATAATAGGAAATCTTTACAAATTTGAAATTTTTTATGAATCTTTGAATTACAAACCTTTGAATTTCGAAATTGTGATTCTTTGAACTTAAATTGTGAATATTTGAGTTTCAATTGCAAATGTCAGATTATAAAATTTTGAATAATTCAACTTGTGAATTTTTGAAGTTTCAAGATTTTGTAGTTGCTGTCACGCCCAGATGTAATGAGGTGTTTAGATCTTTATTTATTTTTTCTAAAGTCGTTAAGCCTCTAATTAAAGGAGTTTTATTTATTTTTTTCAAAGTTGTTAAACATTTGCTTAGAGGAGCCTTATTTATTTTTTTCAAAGTTGTTGAGCCTCTGCTTAAAGGAGCCTTATTTATTTTTTCAAAGTAGTTAAACCATTGTTTAGAGGAGTTTTATTTAATTTTCAAAAGTTGTGGAGCTTCTACTTAGAAGAGTTTTTATATTATTCCAAAAGTCTGAGTATGCTTAAAAAAAAAAGGAAAAAATATGTCAAGTTGATTTTTGATTGGATTGTCTATGTCTTTGCACAATTCTTATTTTATAAAAAATGTACAAAAAGGGATAGTTGTAGACACCCCAATCCGTTTGGGGGTCTACTTAGCTTTAATTTTGTTTTTAAAAAATAATAATAATTAAAAAATAAAAAAAAGAAAAAATATGTGGCTGAATTTGTGTAAACTGGGATTGAAGAGTTTGAGATGGATTGGAAAAGGTTTAGTTGAATTAAAGTTTGAAAGGAATTAAAATTTCTTTCGAGTATGAGGCTCCGTGGATTTAAGCCTATAAATATAGCTCTACACCAAACACAGATCACACATAAGAAATCAATAGAGAAAATACAGAGAAGTGTAGCATAATAAGGGGTGGCAGTAAGTATTAACAAAGATAAATCCTTCTTTAAGAATCAATTGTTAGCCAACATCTCACTATCCATTGCCAAATTGAAATCATCCTCAGCCCGTAGCCTCAATTGAAAGCATTCTCCCATTGATATCTTTCCCCATGAACAGCACCATCAGGCTATTGCCAACCAACTTTTACCGACAGCCAGCCCAGTGCCACTATTGACTAGAATGCCTAAACCATTGAACATACATTATCATCTGCAATAGAAACAAATTCCAAACAATCGCAGTGTTAATTTTTGGTGGTTCAAGTTGGGTTATGTTTGAAGGAGAATCAGAGTTGTGGGGTCTGGTAGAGAAGGGAAATAAAGAGAGAAGTGAGTTGATAAGCTAGCACTAAAGGGGCCCACGTGCATAACATCCAAAAATGGTACTTCTTCTTTTCTTATTCTTTAATTGTCTGTTTATTCATTTTGTTTTATGCATAATTATTTATTTATTCACTCTGTTTTATGGTTTTCATTATTTGATATTAAATAAAATAATAATAATAAATGATATAAAACATTAATAAAATAAATTTATTCAGAATAAATAGTAATTATCTACCGATGAAATTTTAAATAGTAAATTTTTATAAAATTTTTAGGTGAGAAATTTTTTTTTAAATTTATTCCAAATTGTTGAATAATTTAGATAAAATTTCAATAATAATTAATATTTATTTTTAATTCAAATATATATATAATATAAAAAAATTTTGGTTGAAATATTTGACAATTATCTAAAAATGATAATTTTAAAAATTTTAAATGGTAAATTCTTAAGAAATCTCTAGGTGAAAAATTTTTTTAAATTTGTCTCAAATGGTGAAAGAATTTAGATAAAATTTTAATAAAAAATAATTGTCATGTTATTTTCTTTCCAAAGAATAAAAAATGCAAAAATTTTTAAATTGCTCCAAATGATGAAAATTTTAAAAATTAAAAAAAAATCAGAAGATATTTTTAATTTGATCCAAATTGTGGAATAATTAGATATATTTTCAATAAAAAAATAAAAATAATTAAATCTTTCCGACGACGAAGCCTCTTCAAGAAAACAAATGAGATTCTTGAATACTTTTGAGGTGAGAAAATATTTTAAAAATTTGTCCAGATTAATGGAGAAATCTTAGAAGTTATTTTCAATATTCAAACATTAAAATTTAAAACCATTAGAACCAAAATAATTGTTAAGATAATTTAAAATTAAATGATACTATCTTAGGATGAGCGTTGTGAGGGTGCTATAACATTTCCTACACATAATCGAATTCCTGAATCTAGTTCTGTTCAGAATATCAGAACTTATTCTTTAGGGACCTTTATTCAAGCTTAAGAGCTCCTTAAAAGGATAGATTCCTTAAGGGACTAATCACACTTAGTTTAAAAAGATTAATGGTGACTTTTTAGTTTGTGTTTAGCTATAGATTTTCGGATCTATATATGTTATGACACTCTTAAGCGTCAACATCTGTTAGAAATACTTTATTGAGATATACAGTAGTTTTGTGTGTGTCTGTGTGTGGAATGTAAGAGCACTTATGCTCCTCCCCTTTCTCCCCTGCTCCAGTTTTCATGTATATGATGTAGATACCAAATATCACAACATACCTTTACAGGTATGTTAAAAATTCATTTTTCAAGGTTTTGGCTTTGTCTCATTTCCAAATTTATTGAACGGCACTGACATGTTCTGCTGAGATACCAGTAGACAAGGTCACATTTCCAAGAAAAGCTTATTGCCAATTTGTTAATACTTGCCTAGAATCAGTTAATTTTCTATCATATAAGTCCATAACCTTGTTAACTTCCAGTACCCAAATTAAGAAAAGAAGTTGATAGCTTGAATCATTAGTCAAATTCCGTTCTGAACTGAATCACAACACTCACCATTCTTATTCGACCGTAAACATCAAGCAGAGAACGTTTGAGAGCTACTAATTTTCTTCTGGTCTTTTGTTCCGCCAGAGGCATTTTAATGCTTGTCAAATTGAGTAGTACCACCAGCACTCAGATTCAAACCTGTGACCCATATATCCACTACATAAGCTGATGAACTCTTTCTTCCTAAATCCATGAACAAACTCAAAACTTCAGTCTATTGTTAATAAAAACCCTGGTACTTGAAAAATGAGTGTGTTCCTTTTACCAAAAGCCAACATCTTAAACATCAATCTTTGAAACTCTTGGTCTATAATGTATTTCAAAGGACCAAGATCCTTGCTACAAGTGTTCCGACTTGTATATATTTTCAATCAATGGAATGAAAGCAGTAAGCCTTCTCTAAAGTTTTACAAGGACGACCTTCTTAATTTGATATGAGGCAAATATCTTTGGCCTCAAGCCCTCACCATATGAAAAAACTGTGAGGGGCATTTGCAATGCCTCTCGCTGCCAGTATGCTGCTACATTGATGATAAAAAATATTTCAATCTCATATCATACAGGGAAAAAATCAAGTGAATCATACATAAGCATTTAAATTACTGCAGGCCGAGGACTAAATTATTTACTCCAACATGACAAACCTTGTTCACTGTGAAAAGATCAAATTAATCATGCTTCTGAATAGTGTCACCAACATGGTAGGACAACTAGAAATAGCCAGAGGCAAAATGGAATTCAGCACAAGTTTTTTAGTAGAATGGAACATGTTCTAAACAGGATGGATAAACCGCCCCTCCACGAGCTGTTGTAGGCACAGTGCTGACCACGTGACAGCTATCCACCAAAATTAGGTATTGGGTCAATGTAACAAAATCACCTGTAATCAAACAACTTCACCAATTCAGGTCTACAAAAAGGCTTCCACTTGTCCAAATGAATAAATCTGACTTGAGTTTTCTTTCAAGTTTTAACATAAAATAGGTTGCCCAAATCATTAAAAATAGAGAAGTACCTAGTACATATGCTATCACTTCAAAGGTTGATCGAATTAATACATGGCAAGCTATAATTAGCTAAACATAAAAGCCTCAAGCAAGAAGTTGTGACCATTTACAGGTTGATCAAATGGAACATATAATGTATAAGGAAATAGGAATTAGAACCCCCTGCATTTGTGAATTTGTGATGAAGCAAGCACCTTCAAAGGACATAAAAACCAGTTGCATTAGATGGACAAAAACTATACTCTCAAGATGCATAGAAAGAATTTTCACTTAATTCCTTGGCAGTTGAAGGATTAGTGATCCTCTTTAGAGTTTTTTACTCCGTTGACTGGATAAAAAACAATGCTAAAAAAGGTGAAAACAAGAAGTATCGAAAATTTACTTTTGTTGCACTTTGAAGAATCAATATCATAAATGAACGAAATCAAAAGCCATCTGATTTCAAATGATTAAATTTAAAACAATTTCTTTTGCAATATATCATGAACTTGTTAGGAGGCATCAATCACCTACTCAAGTAATGAAGAAAAGGTGGACCATTTGAGTTAAAAGAAACAAAAGGTATATATCTATGAATGGTGTCTGAAGATTCATAGAATGAAATTTGGCTTACTTAATTGGATCATTGGGTCTTAGAAGCTGAAAGATTGTCTTAATCTTCAATGTAATTCTGCACTTCCTCTATGGTAGAATTCTGCATCAACAACAACTAATATTAGAATTCTGACTCCATTATATATATATATATGTATGTATATATATATATATATGATATCATAGGATTCTTCATCTTTTTCCGAAATGGCATTCTATTATCCGAAGCAGCAATTTTGGTGAAAAGGCGAAAAAAAAATTAATTTTAATTTACAGTGTTGTAAGGATCACTGGCATCAACAATTCTGTGACAAATGAATGAACAAATCTATAAATTCTAAACAATAACAGCATCCTCCATGTAAAAATACAATTATCTCTTCACCGTGCTCTTGCTCTTCCACGTACAATATTGATTAACCCACTAAATTTTAAATACCCAATTAACCGATGACGTTTTAACTTTAGCCCTGAAAAATCGTTCTTCTCATTCCAACTGTTTGGTTTTAGTTAGAGAACTTAATGGTCAGTAGTCAAAATGTAAAATCCAACTCCAAAGTTGATGACTGAAATTTTGAAAAATACTAAGGAAATTTGGGAAAACATACCTTTTCTTTGAACAGTTGCTGTATGGTGCTATTAAGGTTGCCTTCCCAACGTTCATCATTTTCCCATTTCTGTAACCGCACTTTGTGCAAAAATGGTGTGTTTGAGTCTCCTTGAGAAAACATCTTCATCTTCGGGCAATTTTCCAGAATTACAGTTAATAATGATGGGAATCCAAAGGTATAATTCCCTGATGAGCAGAAGCTTTCTAGCTTTGATAGCCCAATAAGTTCCAAAAGGTTGAGTTGGGGGAAACTGATTTCATCCTTTACTTCATCTTCATCATCCCCGCTACCTTGTATTATTTCTTCTATATTCTCGCACAAGCATATCTTCATTTCTTTAAGCTGCACTAGGCTTTTGGCTGTGGAATATGCAACTAATTTTATGATTCCATCACATCCTTGAACTTCTAGAGTCACCAGATTATGGAAAGAAACTGAGGACGGAACTAAATTATATTTTAATTTGGGACACCTTTCCTTTTCCTTCCATAGATGCATCAATTCAGGAAGATCTTTCAGCCTTAATTCAGTTAACCGAGAGAGTAGCAGCCATGCAGATGTAGGCTTTTCCTCACCAGCTCCTTCACTTGGGAATATCTCTTTGAAGTAGGCTCTCTCTATTTCAAGCGTTTCAAGATTGGGAAAGTGTAATAAATGGAGCAAGTAAGATGGGAATATGGCTAATTGTTTAGGCAAGTCATAAAGTGTGACAACTTTTAGTTTGGAGAAGTAGTGAGATGCAAGTAGTTGATGTTGGGCAGAGCAATGCCATATCTCTTTCATCCCATCATTCCATCCCAAAGAAAGTTGTTGTAGAGTTGGGAACGTAAACTGCAGAATTCACAATGTGTTAAAGGGCAAAGGCAGAGGACGCTTTGCATTGTCCAAAATCAACTACGATTACAAGACAGTAGAATATCAAGAGAAAAATTAATTTATATATAAAATATAAAATGAGAAATTTGTTTATATTAATTTAAGTTTTATTTTTTATTTTTAAATTAAAATAATTAAAATTAAAATATTATTTAATTTAAATTAATTATAAATTTAATTTTTATATAAAATAAAAAAATATAAGTGAATCTCTATTCAAAACATATTCTCATCTTCCTTATTTGAGTAAAAATTTTTTAATAATTTTATTTAAATGTAATTGAGCAAGGGGATTGTACTTTGATTAGTTTTTTTTTCTTTGTTGAAAGCAATTTTTTTCTTAATTATTATGCGGTACCTTAAGATATAAATTTTTTTATTTTCTTATTTTTGCTAATTAATCCTCCTATGAAGTTATTATTATTACTATTATATATTATTATTATATGCTAACCTTTGATGCACATGAATTTTTATAAAAATTAGAATTTTACTGTTCAAGTGAAAATTTACTTTTTGAAAAATTGTATTAGATTATACTTAAGTTCTTATCTTTTGAAAATAATATATATTGTACCGAATTCAAAAATAAAATAGTGTTTTATTTTAACTTTTATTATAATATCTATAACTGTTTTCCTTTATTATAATTTTAATAGGTTAATTAACTTTTTGTTATAATTCAAAGTTTTGTTACATAATTTATATTAAGAAATTTAATTCATCTATCATAAATGCTGTCTAGGTGTAAATAAAATGTTGATAAGATTCAAAAAGATGTTTCTTTTTAGTAAAACAAAATTAATCTATTATCTTTGAAAAGAAAGGAAAAGAATTCATGAAGTAATGAGAAAAAAAACTTTATCATAGTTTGATAATTAAGACAATACCTTATTCACCCAAAATAAGGGCCTCTGAATTGGTATTAATTCATGTTCACTCTTTCCTCCACTTGTTTCTTGAAAACCAAACAATATCTCTACTTTACCACATTCACTCACATGCATCTCTTTCAATGAAGGCCAATTTGTAAAATGCATGTTATGATAGAAACTCTTTAGTCTTGGCAATCTTACGAGGTCCAAGGACGTCAGCCGTGGAAATTCAAATGTAGCAACCGCACTACTAACAGCTGTCTGTTGGGGTTCAAATATTTCTTCCACTAATTCACACTCCCATATGATTAGTTTCTCAAGCCTTTTAAGTCTTGTCAACATACTCAACGGAAAAACATTCACTAACTTATCACAACATTCCAATTCAAAGTAACTTAGTTTGGAAAAGGATTGTTCAGCAATTTGGTTAGGCCATAGCCTTTCCAAGTTTTTCATGGAACAAATTTGCAAGTGCTGTAGCATAGGAAGTGCCACCTATATATACATACAAAATTTATTTGAATGTTGCGTTAGTAGCTAAATATAATATTGGCAAACATAACCACAAGCAAAGGAAAGAAAATGTGAAGAAATTATGAAATTTTTACAATTTCTTCCTACATGTAAATGTTTTGTTCTTAATTAATCATTATTATTAAATTAAAAACACTAACTAATTTTTTTCCGTATTAATATTAAAGTCATTAATTATTAAAATAAAATTTCCTTAATTGATGTTCTCTTATTAGTTAAGTTAAATATTGATAAATTTTTATATATCTATTTCCTTATTTAGCTTCAGCTCTTTGTTAAGTAAATTATTCTTAATAAATAAAATGCATAAGACTTTTAGTTGACTTTGTAATAAATATTTATATAATGCTAACATATGAAGTTAGAATGTTAGAACTAATACAGATAACTTTGGATTATCCATTATTTGAGTGAAATTTTTTATTTACTTTAATTGGTCTTCATTACTTTCTTTCTCTATAAGAATATGAACTTGATGATAGATTTTTTTATATGATTTACACTGAATGATTGATTATTCATGAAATAAAAAATTAATTCATTCAAATAAAAATATTTAATATTATAAATACATTTCATTTTTAATTTTGAAGTCTAAAAAAAGTTTAGAAAAAGTTACTCAAGAGATATAAATATATTCTTTTGAAAATTGTCTAATAAGTGTTGTATCTTATTAATTTTAAATTCCTTAATTCGTTAGTAAATGATTTATTGACATAGTCCTTAATTCCATAATTATAATTGTAAAAATTACATAATTTATTTATAAAGGAAAAAAGAATTTTTATATTTTTAAGTTTTCAAATTATGTCAACCTAGCAAGTTAACTCACTATTAAATCATCAAATTGCATGCTTTTAGATTAAAAACTTTATTAAAATAAAATTGTTAGTAAATCAAAATTATACATTTAAAAATAAAAATTATGTTAACTTAGCTTGTTAACTTACAAATCACAATTAAATCATCAGTTACATGCTTTTAGAGTGAAAACCTTGTTAAAATTATTTCTTTTATTCCAATGACCATGATTAATTGATTGTCCATAAACTTGCAGTTTACTTTGATAATTTGTGATTATACCAAATCATCACTGAGAAAAATAAGTATTAAGTCATATATTAAGGGTTTTTACTTAAAATATTGTTATCAACTAATTATTAAAGTATATAAGAACTTTTAAGTCCAGGAAAGGCCACCATTTTTACTTTTTGAAACTAACCTGATAGAATTGCTTCATTGTAAAGTTATCAATATAATTATTTATTGAATTAATTATTTCATTTCGATATTAATGATAGTAATATTAATTATATGTTCATAGCATTTCCATTGTTAGATTCTTCAAAAAAAAATGTTCACATTGTTATTAGTTATATGTTATTAACTTATTAATTTTATTAATTAGTTGTTATCATTCACTTATACTTAAAATTAATAAATATATATAAGAGAATTAATTAATATAAAAAGTACAGTAGACTTGAAGAAAATATAACATGAAAGAGGGGGGAAAATCACCTGTAGAGAAATATATATTTAGTCTTGCAATAGGATTATATATATTTCATCACGTTTATGTGCTATGCAGGGTTCAAAAATTGACATTCCACGATGACTGTATAATATTATTAACTTGATAATTTGTTATTAATTTTATTATTGAATTAAAAATCAATTGGTTTATTAATTTTATTTATTTAAATATCATACAGGACTTCAGGAATTAAGGTTGATAAGTTCAAGATTTTCAAAAGAGAATTGATATTAGAGAAATGTAGAGGGACATTAAAAAGAGAAGAATAAAAATACCTTTTCATCAAATAGATATTTTGGTATTGAAATGCTGCTGCTACTGCTGCTACTCTTTCTTGCTTCATTGCCAACACCTGTACTAGAATCACAATGCAATGTGCTCAAAATAGGACACCTACTTATTGAAAAGTTCCTTAGAAAAGGGAATTCAATTGAATTAATTCCACAGCAAAATCTTTTGAGATTGGGAAGATTAAAAAGAAACAATATGTCAAGTTTAGGAAACACCATTATGTTATTTCTTTCTTCTTCTGCACTGATTGCTATCACCTCTTCCATTTCCTCACAGTTTCCAACATAAAGTGTTTTCAGTTGCACAAAGCTTTTAACTATTGAGGAAGTACACACATACTTCAATTTGTGACACCTCAGCACTTCCAAAACTGTAAAATTTTGAAAACCAAAAGACATTTCGGCAACTGGAAGCTGATCATCCCATAGTTTTTCAATACTACTCATTGATTCTAATACTAACTCCTTAATGACAGGGAACACAACCTGCAAATAATAATCATACATATATGTTTAATATATTATCAGCAATTCCCTAATTATTATTCAAAAATTAAAATGCATTCAAAAAAATACAATATTAATGATTGATTGAAAATTATATGAATTTTACACCAATTAAGAAACGCGATTGATATCCATTATTTCACAGTTTTCTTAAATAAGGTATTTAAAAATCTTTATTCTTAAAATGGGGGATACTTAATTTTCTTCATTCCCTCCCCATTTTCTCTCTCTGTTTTTACCGCCTCTCTCCTATCAGCAGAAAATAGATAGCCACAAAGCCTAGGTTTCGACTTTCTATGGTCGTTCCTCTGCTACGCCGTTGTATACCGTCTCTAATGTCAATTTCCCAAAAAAAAAAAATTTATCGACTCCTGTTAGCTCCCTCTTTTCCATTTGTGTAGTTATTTTTTTCAAAATACACAAAAATAATCGATCTACAATCCCGAAGCTCAATTTTTTTCTACAGATATCCCTCATTCTTTCTTTTTTAAAACTCTGAAACTATCTTAGATCACCTCCTCCATCCTTCTTCTATCATCCTCCTTCAAAATCACCTTAAAAACCTTCATAACGAAACCCTAAAAATGGAACTCTAAGATTGTCATTGCCACCCCTGTCGAACTGTCTTCATTCTCTTCCTGTTCTTGCTATCCTTTTGAATGCTCAACCCTGAAACCTTAATTAAATCCTTTCTTTTTGTTTTCTACATTTTTTTGCTTTTTTTTGTAATTTTTTGTTGACTTGGTTTTTTTATTGTAGTGTTTCTTACAGTGTTAATTTCAGTTGAATAATCAATTTAAACCATTTATTAAGCGAGAAAAATTAATTTTTAACATTCAGTTGGATTGATTTCTTGCTTAATATATGGATAATCAACTGAATGTTAGAAATTATACGAAAAATTAATTTCAATATTAGGGTTATAAATAGGAAAATTAATCTAGAACTATATGCAGAGGGATGTTCAAAAAAATAAAAGGTTACCTTATCGTTGAATAGACAGTGTGGTACATCAATTCGGAGATTGTGACCCATTGAGATGCTATTGTTACTCTTTCCATCATTTGTACTAGAATCACAGTGGAATGTGCTCAAAACCGGACACTTTTCTATCTCTAGTCTTCTTAGAACAGGAAATTCAATTGGATTAATTCCACAACAAAATCTTTTGAGATTGGGAAGATCGTAGAGATGCAAGGAGTCAAGTTTAGGGAACACCATTATGTTATTTCTTTCTTTTTCTGCACTGACTGCTATTACCTTTTCCATTTCCTCACAATTTCCAACATCAAGTGTTTTCAATTGCACAAAGCTTTTAACCATTGAGGAAGTAAATACATACTTCAATTTATGACAGCTGTAAACACTCAGAATTGTTAACATTTGAAAACCAAAAAACATTACATCAGTGAGAAGCTGATCATCCCATAGTTTTCCAATGCTATTCATTGATCTTAATACCAACTCCTTTATGACAGGGAAAATAACCTGCAAATAATAATCATACATATTTGTTTGATATAATAAAATCAACAATTCTTTAATTATTATTCAAATATTAAAAAAAAATTAATATAAAATGTAATATTGATGATTGATTTTGAACAATGATATAAAATCTACTCAAAGTCTCAAATTAAGAATCGTAATTTGCATTCACTATTTCAATACAATTCTACCTTTTTTAAAAATATACATAAAAATATGAAAAAATTAATAAAAATAAGTAACGTTTGATATAAAAAGGTAAAAGTATCATAATTAATTAACAAAGTTTTAAAAATTATAAATATAATAAAGGATAAGACAAACGTAATTAAAGGTTATTTTAATGTAAACAAAATATTAGCATCATAGAGTTTAAATTAATTGGTCTTATTTAAATGTTTACATAAATGTATAAGCCTAATAGAAAAAAATTTATTGAAAATATTAACATAAACTCGTGAGAAGGATAATAAAAGCATTTAACATTTGACCTAAATTGCATTAAAAGTGTTGTAATCAACTAAAAAAAAGCTATGGAAATAATTATAAACCTATTAGAGTGCAAAGACAAACATAATAAGATATTATTTTAATTTAAATGAACAAGTTGAAAATGTAAAATTTAAATCAATTAGCCTTTTTCATTTGCTAGGGAAAATTAAAAAAAAAAAAGGTTAGAGTAAATATATTAGCCCAATGATCATGTAAAATACCCTAAAAGCTTAAAAATGAAAGAACCAATATGAACACAAAAGAATAAATTGTGAAAGTTAAACTAATAACCTAATAATTATATATATATATATATATTCATAGATAGTTGTTTGATGTGTTCAAATATGACACATTTACATCTAATACATGACTTTTATTGAGAAAGGAGAAACTAATTTTTTATTAAAATATTTCATAATTATCATTCATCTCTATCATTTTTATTATGTTGTTCAAGTAAATTTTTATTGTTTGAAATAGTTCAGTTATTAAGTATAAGAATTCGTATTCTTAATCACAATGGGTCTTGCAGTATAATATCATTTCTAAATAAGAAAAATCAACCAAATATATTTATTAAAATAAGATGCGATGCAATTTAATAGTTTTTATATGTAAAATAGGTAAAAATAAGTACAAAATATGTAATATGAAGTATCTTTTTAATTTTTTTTCGGATGAATGAAATAATTAAAATTATATTTATATTCTATTTCAATTTAGATGTTAATCAAATATATCATTTTTCAAATCATTTTAAAAATTTGATCTATTAATTTATTCATAATATTTTCTTATGGAAAAAATATTTTGAATCTAATCTTTATTAAAATTTTATATTTATAAACAATTAAAAAATGGACAATTAAAATGACCTTATTGCCTCTAATTTAGTAAAGAGAAGAAATTATTGAAAATAATATTTTTAATTTATATAAATATAAAATTTTAATGAAAATATATTTAAAATATTTTTGGGATAGAAAATAGATTATTTAATAAATTAATAAATTTCTTTTTTAAAATGACATGATATAGAAATGGATAAATATAAAATCTTTAATAAAAATAGTTTTTTAAATTAATATAAAAAAATAAATTAATAAATTAATAAAAATAAATAGTTTTTTAAATTAATATAAAAATTTTTCTTTAAGTTTTTAAAATGATATAGAAGGTTTTTGAAATGGATTTTCAAATTTTCAACTCAATTTTAATTTTATAAAAATATTTTCTATTAAAATTAGTTTTTTACTGATAATAATATCACAATAAAAAATTATTTTAAATTATAATAATTTATAAAACATATATGAAATGTAAAAAATCAATTTTTTTCTTTAATTATTCTTATTTTTCTATTTTTTCCTTTTTATAAAATATATTAGAAAAAGGCAAAAGAAAAATATATTTGATGTTTTTAATAGAAAATAATATTTTTTACTATGATTTATTATTAAAATAATATTTTCAATATAAAATAGTTTTTTGTGTTTTTAAAATGATACCAGATATTTTTAAAAAGATTTTAAAATATTTAACTTAGTTCTAATTTTGAAATATCTATTTTTTATCAAAAATGAAAAACTTTAAACTAATAAATTATATTACAATAAAAAATATAAAAATATTATTTTAAATTTAATATTTTATATAAATATATTTGAAATAAAAAATTTGAGATAGTAGCATTCTTGATTCCTAAATTCTAAGTAAAATTTTATTTTAGTCCATTTTTCTATCACATGAAATGTTAATTGACACCATTCACTTGGTGCCAGCATTTATCATTTATTTAAATGATTTTATAGATAAAAGGATTAAATTAAGACAACTTTAAATAATTGAGGATTCAATTAGAATTTAAAAATTTAAGAAGCATAAGTGCTATTACTAAAATATTAATATATTTTTAATTTCTCGTGACTTTTGTTTTAAAGTCCCTATGTTATGATTTTATTGTTGACAAAAAAGAGGTGGGGTAATTAAGTATGCACAACACAAACTTTGAAAGGGCAATTTAGGTCAAGACTTTATTCTTTCCAACCGTAAGAATTTATGAAAGCCTACATTCAAGGAAACACTTAAAAACAAAACCACTTTTTGAGCAAATAACAAACTAATTAATCAGAAATCAGTAAATGAATTACCTTTCGGTTGAAAAGTGGAACCATATTTGTGGTCGATACACTTCCTCCTTGTCCTCTTAAGGAAGGCGTTTCCTCCATGGAATAAGAGCTTTTCAATTCTGGCAAATCTTCGAGTTCCAAAGAGCGCAACTGTCGAAACTCTACAACATTGTCTTCCTTTCCTTCCTCCTTTACAACTATCTCTTTAATGTTCTCGCACCACTTAACGCTAATTTGTTGAAGTTGGTAGAGATTTTTTGCTATGGAGACTGAGAAAAGATTCTTCAATCTATCACACCATCTAACTTGTATGGTTCTTAGTCGGCTAAATGATGCTGTTTTGAGTTGACCATCGCAAATCTTCTCCAAAACAGTTAGACTGCTAAGCTTCAATGACTCTAAAACAGGAAATGCTTTATGCGGAGCCGACCCCATGGACTTAATAATACATTTCATCTCTGAGGAATTAACGACACTGAGATGCTTCAAATGTGGAAAACCTTCGCTATCTAACCCATAAAGCACATTCTCCGCCCCTTTGAATTCCTCTATACCTAACTCCTCAGTTTTCTCTACCAACATTTTAATCCCTTCATCTAAATGAATGCCAGTATTTAATTTAAGTTGCAATGCTTTTGAAGCTTCACACTCAAACGAATCCCAATCAAAGTTTCCTATGGCAATCTTGTATCTTTCCAACTTCACAGAGAACAAATCTTTTGGCATAATTTGGGCATCAGGAATATATAAATGTAGGGCAAACAAACAGGACAAGTTCTTCAACTCTGCAAGTTGTGCATTTCCTTTAACATTCCATTGACCGAAGCTCTTGCCAACATATAGCTCTTCTAATCTAGACAATTTTGATATGACGTTTGCTGGGATCACTTTAAGACTGGAACATTCACTCAAATCTAATAACCTCAGTTCGGTCAATTCTGCTATCTCTACTGGTAATTGCTTAATGCTAGAACCCTGAAAGCTAAGGATATCTAACTTCTTTAGATTCCTTATGATGGCTATCTCAGACAAGTTGCATTGATACAAAAGCAAAGTTTGAAGTTTTGTTAATGAAAGAAAAGATGAAGGTAGAGATGGAAACTCATACCAGTCACATTTAGCACCTTCAGCTCATTCATGCCTTCAAAAAAGGTGTCTGAGATTTGGAAAGAAGAATCTTCATTCAGCAACATGAGTAGCTCCAGTTTCGAGCATTCCACACCAGAAAGCTCATGAATATTACTGTATGGCAATGAGATAGCAGTGCAGTCATTGAGTTTTCCCTTCTTCAATAGTTCTTTCATACGACTTTCGTCCTCTATGACCAACATCCGCTTATCTTTAGAGGCGATTGAAAGGGAAACATCGCGAATGAGATCATGCATCTTCACCCATTTGTAACCTTTTCCCTCCAGTAGCAAGCTAGAAGCTTTGAGCTCATGAACCAGTACATCAATTCTTTTCCTTGCTTCTTCCACAGTGTTGATGCCTTCCAACAAATCCAAACCAATACTATACTGTAGCAAATCAGAGACAAGAATATCAAAACCTTGAGGATGCAGGCCGCAAAGCAGGAACACAGATTGCTCTTCCTCATTGCTCAACCATCTGTAACTCAACTCTATAGTGGAATATACATTGTCTTGCAGCCCTTTTATGTTTGATGGAATTGATCTTTGCAGCTGCCGCAAGGCATCCTCCCAAAAATAGAGATCCCTTGTTTTCAATGTATTTGCAATTGCTAAAATAGCAACTGGTAGCCCTGCGCATTTTTTCACCAATTCATCCGCTACACGTTGATAATCATCAGATTTTCCAACCGCGTCACCAACTATTTTTGCAAACAGAATCATTGATTCTTCTTGAGATAAGATTTTGACTTCGAAACTCCTCTCAGCATCCATAAGGCGGAGCACATCGAGGCCTCTGGAAGTCAGCAATATTTTGCATCCAGCAGTAGAAGATTTTTGAGCGGCCTCATTATCAAATGAGATCCCGACAGCTTCAAGATCGAGTTTCTGCCAGAGGTCATCTAAAATTATGAGGATCCTCTTGCCATTCTTCAATCGCTGCCGTAACTGCATTGCTCTTCCACTATCAGTCTCAACATCAAATTTGAGCCCCAACATGTCAGCAATCTCTCCTTGAATTTGTCTTATGACTGGATTGTGTGAAACCATTGCCATCGCCACTTCGTCAAATAAGTGTTCTTCCCTGACTTTACTTGCAACTTCTTTTGCAAGGGTGGTCTTGCCTACACCAGCCATCCCGTGTACTCCAACTATTCGGACACTTGATTCCCTTAAGGCCTCCATAATCCCCTCCATGGCACTTGTTCTTGATTCGAAGGCCTTGTAACCTTTGATTACTATCCCCTCTGGAGCAACAGAATACGAAACTTTTTCGAATTTGCCTTCTCCCAGGAGTTGAATAATAGCCTGCGCCTCTTCCTCTGCTTTCTTGCTAAGCTGGTAACGAGACTTTAAATTAGGAAACAACCCAACGAAACACTTTTTCGTGGCTTTCTCTTCATCCTCCTTCGATTGTGTCGCAGCCTGCTCAGCGATCTTCTCATTGACCTCAGTCAACCACCTATTAACATGATGAAAAATCTCTTCCGCATTCCTTTGGGCCTTATAAACATCTTGCTGCACACTTGCTCGGGCATCAATCAGTTTTTGAACTTGCATCTTGAGATTCTGGACATTGCTGTCAACATATATTATGTAACAAAACCCACGTTTGATGACACCAAACGTGTATTCCACAACTTTATTAGCAGCACCGCTAACAATGGATTCCATATTTTAATGGACTAATGGTGGAGAATCAAAGTGAAAGTCTGGGTTTTTGGTTCAGAATTGGGAAAAGTGAGACAATGGTTAATGGCAAAATGAGACGGCTAGAGAAAACGAAAGAAAGATGAGCTGAAAATGTGAATTGTTGCAAAATGAGAAAAGATGAGATAAATGGGTGAGGATTGAGGAAGCCCTGATCACTTTCTTTTATAGGGGGTAGGTAGTCTTGAAACAATGTTTTCCTCCTTCACACGTAAAGCATTTGATGATATTCCTTACCTTGCTTGGGATGTTTACTTATGTGGTACAATGTAAAATACCAACATTCTTGAAAATCTTATAAAAGAATCAATTCATATTATATTCAATGTTTATTTGAAATTATAGTTTGAACTTTTTAGAGGAAACATTAAAACTCAATTGATCAAAGAACCAGGGACATTAATTTTAATGATATGAACCTGAATTTTAAATATGAAAGGAACTTCTAATTATGATATAACGGAAGATGATTAATAAAACAAAATTTCGCTTTTTTCATCTGACTAAATGAATCATTCTTTATCCAAAAGAAAATTCCTGTCATGCTTATCGTTGGTGAGAGTGCTTTTTCATATTCTTTGCGTCTTTGTTTGGCTTTAATAATATAATAAAGAGCTCCTTTATTCTTGGTTGTGTCCCTCACTTTATCTTATCAAAATTCTTTTGAAAGCATTGACAAAAAGCAATCCATTCCTTTCGTTAGGACCAAGAAAAGAAAAGACGAATAATTAAAGTAGTTGGCACTTGCTTTGCTGTTTGAATATCAAAATCTTAAAGGTTTTCATAAGCTTTAAGTTTCACGTACAAATCTTTTTTTTTTTTCAAATTTAAAATCTTATTGGATTTGAATTATATCAAGAAAGGAACACTCTTTCATTTCACAAATATCAAATTCTATTCCTAAAGTAAATACACTTATAGACAAGGGTTAAATTTATTCAAAATTACCATTTTACTTTTTATTGGTGTAATATTACTGGTCTACCTTGATTTTTGGTATAATCTTATATTGTTAAAAAGTGGATGTTAAATGTTAAGATTGATAACTTGTCATTTGTTAAAAGTTAAAAAAAAATTGATGGTTGAATTAAATTAAATAAATAAAAAGTGACATGTTAAAAGAAAGAGAAAATTAATATTTTTGATATTTTTCCTATAAATATTTTTTTGAATTTTAACATTAAAATATAAAAATATTTATAAACTAGCTTTTTAACTTGAGTGATGCACGGATTTTTTATTATATTTTTTATAATTTTAATTTTTTTTCAATTTATTTTAATTTTTATTATCTTAATAAAAGAATATATTCTAATTTTTTATTTATAAACAAATAATTTATTATATTTTGATCTTAAAGTTTTTATTTTTAAAAATGCATAAATATTTACAATATATTTGATTTAATAAAAATGAAAAAAAAAGTTAAAGTGTTTGATTGATGAATTATGAATTATCTAAAGTGGTTGAAGAAATATGTAGAATCCAAAAATGTTTTTACATGATAAAAATGAAAAAAAAAAAATCTAAAGTGGTAGATAGAATAGTTTGATTTATGAATTATTTTACAGTATTCTTTAAAATATTAAAAGTATATAACTATAAAGTCTAAACTAATGGTGATGATATATTATATAATTAAGTTGAACATCTCTTGAGTAATTTATCTTAAACTAGAAGTTAAAAAATACAATATTTTGTCATTAATACCTCATCAATTGACTCAAAACAATTATTCATGGATCGAAGCAAGTAATGAGATAAGTATTTTTCTCTAAAGATGATATTATTTATTTTATCAAAACCAAATTGTATGAGCACAAGAACTAATTTGTTACAAAGCAAACTATTTCTGAAATAGTAAAAGAAAAAATTCTTGATAATAGGTTAAAATCAGGAAAAAAAATCACCAAGAATCCACAAAATTCAATTTTAAGAAAAAAGATATTCTAATAAGTTATATTTCAATATAAATTGATTGGAAAAATAGAAGAATTTCAATAAACATTTATAAACATACCATCACTTTGTGATAAATGATCTTTTGAATAAAATATGAAACAAAAATTAGTAAATGTGTGTTAAAAGAAAAATGAATTGAAATAAATATTAGATTTTTTATAAGAATAAAATTATAAACGTAACAATATATCTTTCAAAGAAAAGTTGTAAATTAAAAAAAAATAATGGTGTAACACATATTATTTATAGGTTTATTGCATAATTATTAAGTGCATAGATAATTTTTACATTGATAAATATATTTTGGATTTAAAAAATTTAATAAGTGATATTTATCTTTTTAAAATTTAAAATGTTTAAAAAATAAATAAATATAAAAAATTATGAAGGTAAAAATTATTCAATTTTGAGATTTTAAAATTAAAAATATATATATCTACATAACTAATGAAATATGAATGAAATAAAATTAACTTTTAAAATTTCAAATTTATATTATAATTTATTTTTTATTTTAAATAGATAACTTTATATATTTAATTATTTTTAAATTTAATTGATTGAAAGAAATGTTGATAATGTGAAACCAACACTTAAAAATTTAAAATTAAGATTTTCTATAAAAAGAAATAATTAAAATTGAAACAACATTTAAAGTAAAAATAATAGAATAAATTTGAGATAATATGATAAATTTTAATTATACTAGAACAATGCCTATACTTCGCTACAAGATTTTTTATTTATCATAATTAAAAATTTAAAATATATAATTTGATCATCTAAAACATGATCATAATGAGAAATTCGATTAGACTAACCCAAAAAATTAAAACAGTCAGCATATTGATGGATGTGATAGGCAAAAACAAATTCTTAACCTTTGTTAGTGAGCAAGGTGGCCCCAAAAGATCTATCGAACATTTTCTTCATCATGCAGCATGCTTTCTGCCTCTCTTCATTTAGTTCATCCATAGTAACTTGTATGCTTCACTTCTCATACTATTGGCTACAGTTGCATGTAATCTCCCAAGCAATTCCTGTAGTATATGAAATTTTACCTGTGTAAAAAAAAGATTTTTAAATGGATAAAGTAGAAATTTTATCGTTGAATTGTTACATTGCAATCAAAGCAATTAAAAATTGCAAATAATAAAACAATCGACAGAAGTAAGTATTATACATTGTACTTCATTCAACTCAATCAATCTTTGAGTTGCTAAATAACTAAACAAGGAAGTCTACCCCTTTTCACCAACATCAAATAATTAGACAATGAAAATAAAAAGTTCCAAACATTCCAGAAGTAGAAATATATACCTATTTAAATCAATAACTATCCTTGTTTTTAATGCATATTTCATTCTGCAATTAGAAAACAACCTAAAGTTGTGAAAAGTTTCTCTTCTAACATGTCACAAACACACAAAAAATAGTTAAACACTCAAACTGTGAATTAGGAGATAAAGTAGCAACTCTTATAACTGGCAGAAAGCTTGTTGTCTAAGTGTTTTCGTTAAAAGAAAAAACAAAAATGTTTAAATCAATGAAGATTTTCAATGCTTTGCCAATTAATAATTTTGGACAAAAGTATCAAACATTCATAAGCATACCCGAAGTCTTTATACTTAAAAACTTTTAAATTCTTAAAAAGGAATATAAATCGATAAACTATCTTGTTTTGTATACGTATTTAAAATAGTGCTTTGACTTAAACTTTGCTTACCAGACTTGTTACACAATCTAAAAGATGGGTACATATATAATCTAATATATATATAATCCAATGCTATAGTACATATGATTAAAGAAGTTCCCATCTATTTGGACCCAAATCCTCGCCTAATAGATCCAAAACCAATTTTAACTACTATGAAAGAATTATCCAACCATCGAAGACATCCATGTATGATAAAACCAAACCAACCAAGTTATTAAAGAACAAGAGTAACCTTACTTCTCTGAGTGCCCTGTGGAACACCATAACGCTAAAGCAATGTCTTTCTTGATACAGTCTCTTGTCTAGTATACAACACCTAGAAGGTAAAGAACACTTGGATGCAATTATAATAGAAGGAGTTCTAGTAAGGTTTTTAGAGATATCATAAAAACGCCATATACAATTAACTTCAAAATGAAATTATCTAGTCAACAGCTTTCTTCAAATAATAAAAAGCTTGTTGATGTGATTGGGAATAGTCATTCTGTCTATAAAAAGAAAGCCAAAATATTATAAAGAAAAATATATCATTAGTAGAGGTAGCAGATCACAAGGCCTATCTCCTTAAACCAGTATTGCTAAAAAAATTCATTCAATCAATATCTGCAGTTACAATTTGCTTAAACTAGTGTAGTAACAATATTTTAACAAAACACAACCTAACCTCAACTCTTAGACGACAACCCAATTCATATTGTGCATATGGATTACCCATATCTACAGCTTTTACTAACAAAGTGGCTCATTTATCCTAATAAGGCTGTTAGTTTTAATATTCATATCCATATATATAATCTAATCTAACATGTAATAGAAACCAGATGAGATAAGCAAAAAAAATGTTAATATGAAAATCAAACATCATGAGTCTTATTTAAAAAACATGGAGATTAAAAAATATTGAAAATTTCAAATGCATCAACAACTAAACCATCATACTTTCAATCAATGTAGCCAATAAAATTGGGGGAAAATCAAGAAAAAATATGAATTCTTAGCTCTCATAATTCAATATAATAATTGAGCAATTATGTCAAGATGTAAATATTAGTAAAAAACGTTACTTACATGACTTTACATACCCCAAAAACATGGTGCTTCAAATGTAATTTGGATAACCAATACCTAGCATGTATATTGGAATTATCAACTGCCAATACCAACTCAAAATTCGCCTTTACTGCCTAACATTAATCGTTAAAATTAGAAAACATGACTCAAATTTAATGGTAATATAAAGTTTTCAATTCCCATAAAATACCTTGTCTCTTTTAAAAAAAACAAATTATTAAAGATCTAATTACATAATCACAACAACTTTAACTATTAATTTTTTTATTAAAAAAGTCATATCTAGTGAAATAAAAAAAATTGTAAGCATATCTTAAAATTTGGAAAAGTTATCCCAAAATCAGCCCCTCAGTTTATCCAACAGAT